CTCTCTCTCTCTCTCTCTCTCTCTCTCTCTCTCTCTCTCTCTCTCTCTCTCTCTCGAGAAATCAAAGTTTCTTCGCATAACAGAAACAGTAATAAAATGAATTTTTAATGAAATAAATGAATGTATTCTTATGTCTAACGAGCAATTAATTTGTAAAATCGTTTTTCATACACAACACACGGGAATTCATAAACAGATCGTATGGCTTGTATGGGATGAGGGATGGGATGAGGAATGGGATGAAAGAACTTTTTATTCAAAACAAACCACCGATAAGTTCGCTGACATATAATCAAATGCGAACCGACATAACCCTTGACTCTATAGCCTTGTAATCATTATTGTGTTTATTTACGTTAAAATATATTTCCTATATTTATCATAACATTGAATATATCATCAAATTATAATATTCTGCCATTCATTCCGATCTTGTGTTTATTTGTATTAAGATTTGTATTTGTGTTCACAAAATCCGATGTTTAGATCATAACCGGAATCATTATATAATATATATTAAATATATTGTAAAAGTTGTGTTCATAACTCAAAACTATTATTCAATACAATAAATACCTGTCTTTATGAGAAAACAACAAAATCATTCAAGAATATTAACAATTGTTTATTACATAGAATCGGCAATCTATTAAATCATTTTCCACATGTTTGCTTTTCCCTCAAATGCCTTTTATGTTATTGTCATATAAGACCAATCTATAAAATGTATTATTTTTCTATACCATTAGCAATGAAAAAAAAAGTTTTATAAATTAAATAAATCTTTGTTTTCCACTGTTTAAGCATAAGAGAAATATTTTTTGCAAAATATTCTGTTATTTTCTTTTAAAAACTATGTCTCATATAAAATGAAAAGATTTTGTATTCTTTGAAAGCAAATATTTTTCAAAATAATCTTTTATGTCTTTAAAGTGAATGAAGAAATTTCTATTTGTAAACACCATTAAAGTTGGAATTTATTAAATATTAAACGCATGAAAACAAGTCAATACTTACGGCCGCAACACTTTCTGGCTCTCAATAGCGATAGGAAACCGATTCTATACTTCTTATTGAAGAAACAATAGAGCATTGGATTATAGCATGAGTTGGAAGCGCCCAACCATTGCGCTATCGGCGCTAAAATCATTAACAGTCGCTCTTGAATGCTGTCCGACTCAATGGGTCCGCCCAACTTGATTACCGCGAATATACAGTACAGGGGTAACCACGACATCACAAATATGATTACCTTGTATTAAGTATTTTAAAGTAAACAATCGGTTCATTAATAATACTTTGAATTAAATATTAAATAATACATACAATAACGACAAACATTTTCGCTGTCTTTAGTTTAGATCTTTGCAAAAGGTATTCAATTTGAAGTGGTTTTGCGGTCTCCCCGGGAATACTCCTTCGCCAGACTTTCATCCAAATAGCGATATAACACGACGTTATGACAAATAATGGTATTAAATAACACAGAAATAGATTAGCGATAATGAAATATGTTTTCTCGGAGTACTCGTTGGGCCACTGCTCCAGACACAACACCAGATCTGGTACTGACGGGTCGATCGGTTGTAGTGTAAAATATAGAGCCCATGGAATCGCTATGACCGACGAGTACAGCCATATACAGGCGATGGCATATCGGGCGCACCGTCTGGTCATTTGGCATTTGAGGGGATGACATATCGATAGGAATCTAATCAAATGATATTTTATTCAGTTATTAACGCACGGTTTGGCTTACGGTTACATACAGTATGTATGGGTTATATAATCTATGGCTTTGTATTCAATACAAATAATATAAAAGGAGTCATTGAATTATAGATAACTTGTATCCACTAATCAACTAATCTGTCACCAAATGTCGTTTTAATGCATTTATTTTATGTGAATATAAATCAATCCATTAATACAATAATGAATATTTTATGGGAATTTAGTTTTATTCTTAGAAATCTTGTTGTTGTTTGAGATGTCGATAACTTTTATGTAATATAATTTTATGTTTCTGTCTATTGTATGTATTCTAATAGAAAATAATTGAAATATTCTCAAACAATAACTTTTTTGACGAGATTTTTGGTTCATTTATACTTTCTATACATACCTATCAATAGAAACGGCAACCAATGTGTTGATTGAAGCGCTCACTACAACGCCTACAACAAATCAAATTATAGTTTATATAAATCAATGCAAAGAAAACTTTTTTAATAAAACAAAATAATAGTTTTTCAACAAACCCTGAAGATATGCCACAGCCTTACACATTATCGCACCAAAAATCCACGCTTTATTCAATGTAAATGAATGGAAAAATTTATATAATTTAACATATATTCTGTACTTTATTAATAAAATATTTACATTAAAACAATCTACGGTTAAAATATTATTAAAATTATATGATCTATATTTTTAGGCAAAATACACAACTTTTTTGAATCAAATTTGAATAATACAGCAGCGGTTAAATGTATACAGGGTTTTGTTTTATAGTTAATATAATATCATATGTTTTTGACAAGAATTGAATAATTTATAAATATGTAAAAACAAATAAAATTCGAGATTTTTTGCTGTTTGTTATATCAATAGATGTATTGATTTTATACACTTTTTGATTTTGAAATTCTTTGCTCATTATTCTTTGCATTAGAATATAATTAATTATATTTTGTTATTCTCGAGAATTTTATATACATTTACTCTACATATCACTGCCATTGAAATATTGGCACACTTTGAATGAAAACCGGATGTTAATTAAAATTCTTTGTCTTTCAGCAAAACTTCCAGAATATTTATCACGAAATATAATTAATATAAGTTAAATGAATGGATAAATGATTTGGTATTTTTGTATTATTAGTCCAAATACTTGTAAACAGCATTTCTACTGGAATTTTATTCAATAAAACTGAATGAAATGTCTGTATGTCTGACTTGTTTACGAGACGCACAGTCTATACGATAGGAATCGTTTAAGTTTTTGTCGTAAATTAGGAAAAAAATATATCAATAAACTTAACGTATTGTATATGACAGAGGAATAAAAATAAATTGTCGATCCATTGATCTCTCACTTGACGGACAGTACTTTAATTAATGTGTGATATCTTCTGACATCGATCTGTCATTTTATGTTTTTTTCAAACAAAAAAAAGTAAACTATATTTTGGGGATATATTTGCTAACCAGTGGGCGAACAGTTAATTGTAGGACATTTACACCGTGTTTATCGCACGTTAACTTGTCATTAGAAAATTATTTAACGGTAAAACGACCATGTTTGCATTTCAAAAGTATATTGAACTAGAATTTATATGGTTGATTATTTCAATAAGTTTTCCATTTCTCCCCTTTTAGTGGTCATAACCTCTAAATATATTCTATAAAATCAATCATTTTTAATATGTGGAAAAGAATGACATATTAATAAAAGGCATTTTATATAAAATATTTCTGATATATTAAAGAAACATTAAAACAAATAACTTATTTGAAATAAGTATTGTGTACTCTATAGAAATGGTTTCCACTTTTCCTATGCTATGGATTTTTCTTCTCTTTCCTAACGCAAAGCATTAGGATTTGAAATCGTTTTGATTTAATTATTTAATGTATTGTAATGTAAAAATTCATTTAAAAGTAAAAATAAAATTAAACATTTCATTTCAAATTACTTGTAAAATGTTTTCTAAGAAAAATTTCTTCAAAAATAAAATTTGATAAAATAATGTCTATTAAATCTAATAAACTTTTGTTTACAGTAATGCAAGAGTACTATAAATTATGATATTGTATGCGAGGAAATGCATAAAATGAGCATTGAATACTTGCTAGTTACTCTCCCAACCATTTATTTAAATAATTTCTAACATTTAATTTAATTTAATATTAATTAAATTTGTCTTATTTTATTTAATAAATATAATTTTTTTATTCAACATTTAATATTATTGTTGTCCAGTATATAATATATTGAAAATAATTTATTGAATGCAATTATATTTTATGTATTTTAATAAAGCTAAATTACTTTAAAGTTTTTATAACAACTAAAATCAACCCAAGAATTTAATTGAACTATTTATTTATGCCAAACAAATCGCATTTCTTGTGAAATAATGTTTTTTCAAGTGATAAATTGCAAAGTAATCTCACATTTAATTAGAATTTAAACATTTGAAATGAAAAAATCAAACAAATTATTTTAAAGTTAAATATATTTTCGTTTCCATTAAAGTGGAGCTCAAGTCTGAGATTAAGTTTGATTCAAATATCAAAAAACTATTTGCATTTTATATAAATCTTNCTCATTCCTGAATCGATTATATTTTACTTTTAATAAAACTTTTTTAAATCAATATTTTGGGCAAAATTGGTTTTTATCGAAAAATTGTATTTAATATTGAATTTGTAGCGAAAAGATGCAGACTATTGATACATTTGTGTGAAATTTTGTCGGCACTATAATTCGTTTGTCGAATAAGCCAATGTGTGAAATCTAATCTACTTTTCAGCTTCTCAAATCCAGAAAAAAATATTCAATACTTATATAGTGTTATACTTTTTTTTGTATTCTGTGTAAAATGGACTTAAAAATGAATATTTAGTAAAGTTTTATAAATATTGTTTCATCATATAATTAAAGGGTTAAAAAGAAAAATAACGTTTTCGCAAAGTTATAAATATTAAAATATTATGAATATTAAATTATATTCTTACTATAAAATTCAATTCTGTGTTTATAGAATTCACCTAATTTTAATATAATACTATCAAAAATAGTTGTAAAAAGTATATAGAGAAAATGTCAAACATGTAATTGTCTAAAAGTTTGTATATATTTGTAGTATTTTTACACATTTATGATATAAGAAATGTTTTTTTCAAGAACTGACTATTTTTTGTAGCTCTAAGATTTGGGTCATTCGATAATAGTATTAGTTTTTATATAACAATGAGTNTGTTTTTTTCAAGAACTGACTATTTTTTGTAGCTCTAAGATTTGGGTCATTCGATAATAGTATTAGTTTTTATATAACAATGAGTTTTTAGAAGCAAATGCTCTGATATAATGCTAAACAGACTCTCCGACTATTGAATATTTTCTAAATAAGATTTATATAAAATGCAAATAGTTTTTTGATATTTGAATCAAACTTAATCTCAGACTTGAGCTCCACTTTAATGGAAACGAAAATATATTTAACTTTAAAATAATTTGTTTGATTTTTTCATTTCAAATGTTTAAATTCTAATTAAATGTGAGATTACTTTGCAATTTATCACTTGAAAAAACATTATTTCACAAGAAATGCGATTTGTTTGGCATAAATAAATAGTTCAATTAAATTCTTGGGTTGATTTTAGTTGTTATAAAAACTTTAAAGTAATTTAGCTTTATTAAAATACATAAAATATAATTGCATTCAATAAATTATTTTCAATATATTATATACTGGACAACAATAATATTAAATGTTGAATAAAAAAATTATATTTATTAAATAAAATAAGACAAATTTAATTAATATTAAATTAAATTAAATGTTAGAAATTATTTAAATAAATGGTTGGGAGAGTAACTAGCAAGTATTCAATGCTCATTTTATGCATTTCCTCGCATACAATATCATAATTTATAGTACTCTTGCATTACTGTAAACAAAAGTTTATTAGATTTAATAGACATTATTTTATCAAATTTTATTTTTGAAGAAATTTTTCTTACTTTTGTAAAATGTTCATTAAACTTTACTTTACAAATTAAAATAAAAATGAAAATTTACTTAAAAATGTAATGTTATGTAATTTATTAATTTAGTTTTGCTAAAGTTTAGGATTACGAAACGCAATCGAAAGAGAAGAAAAATCCATAGCATAGGAAAAGTGGAAACCATTTCTATAGAGTACACAATACTTATTTCAAATAAGTTATTTGTTTTAATGTTTCTTTAATATATCAGAAATATTTTATATAAAATGCCTTTTATTAATATGTCATTCTTTTCCACATATTAAAAATGATTGATTTTATAGAATATATTTAGAGGTTATGACCACTAAAAGGGGAGAAATGGAAAACTTATTGAAATAATCAACCATATAAATTCTAGTTCAATATACTTTTGAAAT